ATTGCAATCATTAATTATATCATCATCAAATACAAGAATCATTTCTTCATAATATTATTATCTATATAATAATAATATATATTCAATCCCTTCTATTTATATCAAAAGTACTATATATTTTGCAATAGGTTGATATATAACTTTTCAATTTACTATAATTGGCAAAGTTTTCAGAATTGATAATAATATTGTTTATTTTTAACATTTTAATGTTTTTCCTAATCTTATTTAGAAAATATTATTATTATCTTGTAAAAAATATCTACTTAATGACAACTCACTTTATTTTCTCAATATAAAAAACAAATAAGAAACTTTTTTTATGACTTTTTCCTTAATCTTTGTCTGATATTAAAGCTTCTTTTATCTTAAATATTAGTTATATTTGTTTACTATTCTTTTATATAATTTATAAAATTACTTTATTTAGTTATAAGTTAATTAATAATATTTCGCTTAATTTTACTATACTTTTAACTTTTTCTTCTACTTCATCTCAACAAATTTTTAATATAGAGATTCTTGCTAACTTAGATAATTTAAAATTTTCTTTTTACAATCAACTAACCTCTCATTTTATATAGATAGCTTTCTTATTAATTTAGGTTCTTCATCTATCTATATAGATATGAGTTGGTTACAAAATGATTTCTCAGAATTTTTACTTCCTTTTAATGCTACTTTTTTTTTCTCAATCTTTATTTTTATTAGCAAAAATAATAGCTGTGCTTTTTGCCCTTTATGTAGTTTCTATAAGTATTTCTGTTAATATTTTTACAGACTTACAAAATATTATTTCATCCTTTGATAAAATAAATTATTTTTTTGATTCTCTTTTATCTTTAATCCTATTTTCAAAATTTTCTATTACCCAATTTAGTTTCTTGTCATAAAATTAATTAAAATAAATCTATTTCTATTAAGTTTATAAAATTAAAGCTTATATAAATAATCATTATAATAATATAGTTTGACGCTTTCATAAAGAAGATAGTCCTAATTTTACTTTGAAAAATATGATACTTGAATATAAATACAATTTATACTTTTACAATAATATTGTATTTACTATATTAAGATACTTTGTAAAAGATTTCTTCTATTCAATTGATTTTCATAATATTTAGTTACTTTTATACCTCTAAAAATACAGTTCAATAGATGTTGATTGGCTATGTACCTCCTTCATTCTCAATGATAATGATAATAATTCTTACATATCCTTTAAAGCTTCATTTATCTGTAAATTATATTTAAACTACTTTCTATATTAAAGATTCTTAAAATACAGTCACTGCCAAAAGTAATGGCAGTCAATTTTTATAACTTAACACATGCGATTTATTAATAAATTCAATTAAAATTTTTTTAAATAAAATATAAATATTATAGTTACAACTTTTATTAATTAATTAGTATTTAGTATGCACTCCTTCTGCATTAATACATGCTATAATTTGATTTGGCATATTATTGATGCAGTTAACTATTATATTATTGTCAAAATCATCCCATTCTTCTTGAATTATATTATAAAAAGTTTCAATTAATATTTTTATTTCTACGCCACTATTTTCTTAATCTTTATCTTAACTTTTCTTTTTAAAATAGCTCAAACATTTTCAATCAGATTAAGATCTAAACTATAAGATGGCCATAGAAGAACTTGGTTCAGAAGGTGAGTTTTCAAGTCACTTTGAACATCATGAGATTTGTGTTTCAGGTCATTATTTTGCTGAAAAATCCATTAATAATCTAATAATTCATTCACATTATTATAGAGCTGATCGTTAAGAATTTAGCAATACAAATAATGATCAAGATTTTTAGTAAACATATGCATGCCAATTCTTTCTTTAGTATTGATCGCAGCCTAAATATGTACTTTAAAGGGGTGCTTAACCATAGGTTAAACCAGTTTTCTATCACAAGATCATGCAAAGATTGTGTTATAAAACATTTAGATCGTTGTTTTATCAAAAAAAACCACACTTTTTCAATCATATTGCAAATGGTCTTGTGTCTAAAACAAGTGAATGTCTTTTACTTTTTTGGTCAAAAGAGGAATTTTTCGCAGAAGAACTGCTACATAACTGAACCTAAAAAGTTATTGACAGATAGTTGTTTCATTGATTTCTAATTTTGAATCATTTTCTTCTAATATAGCTTTCAGTTCCTCAACTGTAGTGAAATAATCATGCTTAATGATTATTCTGATGTGTTGACATTTTGTGGGAGTTAATTTTTATAGGTGGCCAGATCAATAAATTTTTAGAATATTACTATTTTTCGTAAAATGACAACATATCTTTCATAAGAACGTAAAGAAATCTAGTTCAGTTGGAAATTTTCTTTGCATTATAGATATTTTTATTCTAAAGATATTTTATAATTTCGTGATTTGCTTTAATAGATGTCAATAACATTTGGTATAGTAGTAATTTAGGTTAAGTTTAAAATAAACAAATAACATTTAAGATCAGGTTTTATTGTTTTTTTATTAAAAACAATATCATATTGCCTAAATCAGCCTAATTAATAATACGTCAAATTAGAACACTGGAGAAACTGTGACCAAAATATTATTTAATATTCCATCATCATTACTTTTGGCAAGGACTGTAAGACATTCAGATCTTTACGACTTATTATGAAATTGCCTAAATACTTTCTCATTCATAATATTTTAATCATATTTAGACTTATAATAGTACTAAATACTAAATTTTAAACATCATATCCTCCACCAAAAAATTTTTTTTATAACAGATAATTATGTTAAATTCTATGATTCAAGATTTGTTTAAGTTACTTAATATAAATATTTTTTTACAACAGATAAATATGTAAACTCTATGACTTAAGATTTATCTGAATTACTTAATATAAATATTTAGTTCTTGAATAATCAAAGTTACTTTTTTAATTTTATTAACTTGATTAAAAGAATTGTATCCTTCTTCTTATTTAATAAATCCCATTATCTTATCAACAACATCTCACTAACAAATGGTCTCCTTTTCTCTACTTATTATCATATATTCTCTAAAATAAAATAATTTTAGCTTAGATAATGTAAAACTATCAAACAATTTGAAAGTACTAATAATATATCACTGACTAATTGGAAAATACACTTTATTAACATTAGCTTTCATTCATCAAACTAATATATTTTTATGGTTTCATATTATTTCCTCTTTTCTTATAAATATAGTATGAACTAGTTAAATTTTTAGATTAGTAGCAATTAAACTTTCTATACTAGATTAGTCTAAAACAGTATAAAGTTGATTTTAATTTAGTTTTAACTAGATAGAAATTTTTGTACTCTTTTTTTGTAATTTGTAATTTTGTAAAAATTTACTTTACTTTTAATAAAAATTGAGCAAAACTACTGCATGTTAAAAATAAAAAAATAAATAAAAATATATCATAAGTATTTATTTTATATAAATAAGAATAATTCTTAAATAAAAATAGTTTTATAATTACTTTTAAATTTCAATTGAATTGTAATTTAATTATCCTATAAGTAAATTTAATTATGCTATAGTTTTAACTCAATTATGCTATATTTTTTATATTTTTTAATTATGATATTTATTTTTATTCTCAAAATAGAGAAAAGACTCCTTTAAATAATCTAATAAGTTAAAAATAAGTCATTTTACTACACATAGCTAACCTAATTAACTTCTTATCATTATAAATATTTAAATTCCATTAAGTTCCTCTTATTAAGTTATTTAAAATCTTTATTAATTATCATTTGTATGATTAAAAATTCTGGTTATTTATAATAAAATTCTTGTTATTTTTTTTTCTGTAATATTTGTATTAAAATGTAAATAATTTTATATAAAAATATTTACTTTTATAATATTTTAATTATTACTATATTATTACTACATTTTTTTTTTATAAATATCCTTTTCTTTTGATATTTTTAATTTAGACTTATTATATTAATAATGATTTCATTTTTCTTTATTGATTAATTTGTTTAAGTTTAATATTTGTATCACAGTTAGTTAATCATTTGTCTATCAATTTTGTTGATTTGTTTATATTACACTATTTTTTTTTGCAGATCATTTTGCTATGCTACATATTCTAATTATAAAAATAGATCTTTTGAATTTCAATCATTTAGTTTCTATATCTAAATATATAATTAATAATGATTTTTTTTAATAATTTCTTTTTTATAATCTTAAATTAAAAAGATTTTAATATTAATATAAAATAAATAATAAGCTAAATGTTAATTAATAATTATTTTATAATTATTTTATATTTAATTATAGCAGATTTATTATATTGAATCGATAAATTATCATATTTATTTATTATAATAAAATAATATTATTTAATAATTATATAATAAACTTTTTTTTTTAATATTTTGAATAACTTTTTATTTTAAGATTATATAAATTCAAAAAAGTAATATTTAAATTTTTATTATAAAATTATATAATATAAAAAAAAAAGAAATTATAAGATCATAATTAATCATCAAGAACTAAACTACTTTAATTATTTGTTTAACTGCCTCATCCACCTGATCAATTAATTTTTCCTTTCCTACTATAATTTAAATTTGATAAGCAATTATTAATTAAAAATGTATTAACCATTCAAGATTTTATAGTAATGATCCGAATTATCTCTATATCTTGCACCATAGAACAAGCATTATCTTATCGACAAAAAAAAAAATTTGTTGATCGATGAAAAAAAATATCTTTCGTTTTTATTTTATTTTTTTTTTTTCTAAAAAAAAATTAAATGATTTTGTTAATATAAATTAAATCATATTTTCATATTTTCACACTCAATAACGTCATTTCTTTTGTTAGTATATTATTACGAAATTATTACATTATTTATATAATTAATATGGGCTTTTTCTAGAATTTTTTTTTTTTTTTTTTTTTTTAAAAAAATTATTTATAATTATCTTAAACGTTAGGATTTTAAAATATACATAAAAAATGGTCAAATTTTTTCAACATACGTTCAAATATGAGTGAGTATTTTTTTTTTTTTTTTTCCTTTTTTTCCTTTAAAAACGTAAAAACAATAATTTTTCGTTTTTATCTGTGAATTATGATAGATATAATTGGGATAGCGTAACGTTAGCTTTTTGGTTACGTTACCCTAATCCTTTTACTTCACACGTTGAAAGTGTTGATGTGATCGATAGATATGTTGATCCAAATACAGGTGTATTAAGAACAACGAGATTAATACTGAAACGTGGGGTGTTGCCAAAGTGGGGAAAGGGAGTAAGTTTCTTTTTAAAATTTTTAATCGGGTATGGAATTTAGTTTGCGATTTAACATTATTAATTCGTTACTTTTTAAATATAGCTCATGAAAACCCCTGAAGCGTACATTATTGAAGAGTCCATGGTTAATCCTAAGACTCAAACAATGATTACTCTCACAAAAAATATAACACACGCTCGAGTAATGCAAGTTGAAGAATGGCAAACTTATCGAGTCGATTCTAATAATCATGAATTTACACAAGTTAAAACTGAAGCCAGAATTATTAGTAATTTGGGATGGGGATTGACGGATCGTCTTGAAGGGTTTGGAATTAAGAAATTAGCTGATAGCACTGCGAAGGTATGATTTAAACTAGAACCTTGAACAAATAATACTTTCATTCATTAATCCTTATACTATCTTCTTTGTTATAGAGTCGAAAAGGTATGTCACATGTTTTAGAGATGATTCGGGAGAAACAATTATTACGTGGTAGAGGATTCCTGACTAGTACCTAAATTGTTTTCATCTCTAAAATAAATCAACCACAAAACAAAAAAAAAACTTGTAGATATTCATATTTTAACATAACCATCATTAAAAAATCTCCTCCCTCCAAAAAAATTATAATTCATTAAAAGTTGACTTTAACGGAACTCGTTAACAAATAAAAATTTATGGAATATTTCACGGTACTTTTATTTTGAAAGAATATACTAACCAAAAAAAGGTTACACTGAATTCATTTGATTTTTAGTGTAACTCGAGAATACAATACCTATAAAATCGAAGTTTCTTAACTGTCAAAAATACGTTCTTTTAAAAATATTTATTAAATCTATCATTTCTGATAGTAGATATAAAAAAAAAGTTTTTTCAATAATTTTACCGAAATGTTGGAACCAAAAAATTATGATATATATTCTTCTCAAGAACCATTAAGACCTATGAGACCTTTTAGACCCAATGGTGGTTACGGTAGAGAAAGAACCGTAAGATATCAAAGATATACGAGACCTGCCGAATCTAACGAAAGAATGATTAGAGGTGGTATGAGAGGTGCAAGAGGTTCATGGGGTTATAGAGAATATGGTACGAGAGGGAGAGGTCTAAGAGACGATTTTGGTTTTAGAGGAAGAGGAGGAGGTATGAGGGGTGACTGGAGATTTAGGAGGAGAGAAATTAGAGAAGAATGGGGTATTAGAGAAAGGATTTCGTATGGTGAAGTAGGTTTGAGAGAAAGAAGGATGAGAGATGATTTTGGCTTTAGGGGAAGAGGCATGAATATGAGGGGTATGCGAGGAGGAAGAGGATTAGGTGCGAGAGGTTTAGGTATTCCAAGGGGGCCAAGAGGGTACAGTCCGAGAGGTGGGAGAGATGGAAGAAGGTAAATATATTATTTATGAAGGGAATCGATTTGTATTCTAAAACGAAGCGTGTACAATATAATATGTATTATTTATTTAACGATTACAATGGACGAAATTTTTTTAAAATATAACATAACTAAAGGTGATAATAACATCATATGATCACATGAAAAGACTGGGTCAAAGAATTAAATTTTGGGTCCATTATGCGTGTAACATTAGAATATTCCCCAAACTATATCTAATGGAGTTTTATGAAACATAAATTCATTCATATATGTTGGTACAAGATTTCTATAATAGACGCATAATAGAGATTATATATATAAATGGCAGACAAGTATAACACGAAAAAAAAAAATTTCAGAGGCTGTTTGTTAAACCATTAGATATTTATTTAAGTATCTTCAAAGAGGCCTTGTGATTTACTTAATTTTTTCTGTCGATGTGGCTTTTGCCTAAAAGAAAAAATCAAACCATTAAGCCAATTGTAAAAAAATAATATTAAAGAAAAAAAAAAACAACAAAACGAAACAAACCTTTGCTTCAATATCCGTAAAATATTTGTACAATTCATATTCATGTAATTTATCTTGATATTGTGCGATTCCTTCAGTCAACTTCCTGAAACTTCTTTCACTTTTGTAGGGTAGTAAAGACAGACAATAAGCAATGTCTCGCCATTGTCTTTTATCATCAAGATTTTTAAACCTTTGAAACAACTTTTCTACCAAATTATCTGATTGTTTATCCTATTTAGAAGAATCGTAAAAACCATGTATAATTAATAGCACAATTTTTTTTTTAAAAAAAAAAAAAGGTAAAAAAAATGAAAATTAACCTTTTCAATAAAATCAAACAAAAATTTCATAATTCTCTTGAATGATTCTTCATTGACTGGATTCTCTCCATTAGAAAGATTACTAATTATATCAGGTAAATTGTTATATACTGCATTGTCTTTTGATGCGAGCTCAGTGAAAAATAATTTTGCAAGATCACTGATTCTCCGATCTTTATCTTCCAAACATTTAGCCATCTCCCCCAAATACCCCTTAACCTTAATCATTCCGTTAAGAATTAAGTGGGTGAGTACCATTAATGTATTTTTTTTGACCAGATTATCTGGATCCGCAAGGCGCTTATAAAAATAATTGATATTTTCATCAATTATATTATTAAAACACACTGTCATGTCACCTAAAGCAATAATAATATTACTACGGATTGTAGGCTCATTTGACCTTTCAAGAATGGTGAAAAGTAATTGTAAGTTATCTTCACAAAATTCTGAACTCACGCACATTAATTTTGCTAAGGCAAGTGTTGCAGCAATTTGTAAATTTCGATGCTTATAATACATATTATTAATGTTAGTAAAAATAAAATAAAAATAAATAAAAAATTTTTAAAGAACTTACATTATAAGTTTTATTATTTGCACATATATTTACAATTAAAGGACCGAACACTTTTAACAACGAATATGGACTGAATAATAGTTCTTTTTCACGAATTTCCGCTATTGCTTCTACAAACTCGTCTTCGTTAGATCCCACTACTTGTTCTAATTCATCATCACCAGTATTCTTGGTTGTTTTTTCTTACGGTCCATGTGCGAAACAAATATTAATGTTAGTCAATTAACAGTTTTTTTTTTATTAAAAAAAAAAAGAAGAAAAATTTCCACTTAATTTGTTTATACCTTTTCTCCTTTTCCACTCTGTCTCAATTACTTCTAAATGAACAATCTGTTTAATAGCCACATGTCCAACTATAAATAATAGTTGACTTAAATGGAGTGGATGTGTCAAGAATGATTCTTGATTTGTGAGAATGTTTTCTCCTTCATCAATTTCCATTTCACTATCAGCACCAAGAATTTTAAGATCATAAACTAAAGAAGCTTTTCGTTTAATAATATCACCACATAAAACATCCGGATGTTCACCAAGTAAATATATTGTATTTATTGCCTGCTCAGCTACTCCAAACCTATAAAATTTATACAATGCAATGCATTTAGTGAAGGGATTATTATGTCTCATAATTTAATAAATAAATACCATTCTGTTGAGGTAGTCTGTAATTCGATAATTTGCTTTAGTTTATGAAAAATCTGATGAGATAATGATAGCCGATTTGAATTATTGGCCAAGGACCCTATTTCAAAGCAAAGATTAAGAACTTGAATTAAGAACTTGTTTTATATGGTACGTGAATTTGCTATTATTCTATTTACCTTTAACTTTGATTTGATCACCAGCAAGGCGCTGTAAGGCAATACAAGTATATTTTGCTAAAACCAAGTCTGCCTACAAAATAAAATTCGTAAAAAAAAGTAAGAATAGATATACAATATAGGATGTTTTATATAGCACATACCGAGTACGTACTTTACCAAATTGTCCTAGTCCAACCTTGAGAAGTAAATCGATCTTTTCCTGTACAATCTCCGTCTTAGCTTTGGCAAGCATACTTAGTACGATGATTGCACCACATCTTTGTTCTTTAGAAATATCTTTTGTGGACGCAGCTAAAAATATATTATAAAGTCAGTAATTAATTGACTAATGATTGATAATTCAAATTAGTCATCTCAAAACTTACAATAAATTAACCATAATCTATTAATAACATTATCACTTATAACATCATCTTCTTTCATAATCGTACTTAAAAGTTGTTCAAGGGATGTCAATTCGGCGAGTGTAGCATTATCTGTTAAACTATATTCACAATAACGTAAATATTTAATTATGTATATATAAGACATAATTGTATATATTTCTTAAATGTATTTTACCTTATCAAATTTCTGGTAACTATATTCACATTCTCTTTTTCTGATAGCGACAGATCTGGCTCAATATATAATTTTCGATAACTTTCGATCAGGCGTTTTCTAACACCTTTACCCTCATCATTATTATCCTTTGTCCAGATTAAATGTAACATCTTTTTAATCCCTTCATTGGCCTCTTCAATTTTGTACAATTGTGCCGTTTCAAAGAATTCGATAGCCTCAATCACTTCTGTTTTAGTGGTAGAACCAAGAAGTTGGCAAAGTGTTGGTATTGCCGTATAAATTTGGTGTATGAATCGAACAGCATCTGCATAATAACGTCTTGTCATTTGCAATTTCATAAGCTCATCGGACGATGATAAATGAGGAGCCACTGCCGCTTCTGCCATTTCGATATCTTCATCAAAAGTTTCAACTTCACTATCTGTATCTTCGTTTTCTGTAAGAGCTTCAGCACCAATTTCTGCAAGTTCTTTAGGAGGTTGAATTGCCTTTAACGTTAAATATAATGATTAATATATTAAGAATTGAGGGTTAAAATCTCGAATAATTATTACCTTCAATTCTTCTTCAACTTTTCTTAGGCGTTCTTCCCATTCTTTAGCAGATAACTCACCTCCATGCATAATGCCATATGGATGTGTTGAAATCAATTTGGTCAATAACTTAATTGCATTTTTACGGACTATACTAGCCTTATCTTCTAAACAACGAATAACCAGGTCCACAACCTTTTGTCGTCGTTTTGGAAATTTGACTTTTAATCTAAATTTAAAAATTAACAATGTTTTATTCTTAAATATAAATAATATCATACACCATGGATAAATACTTACTCACAAAGCTTGTAATATACTTGTAATACTCTTAAACGACAATAAGAACTAAGATCAAGAAAGCGTTCTTCAATAGCATCGAAGAATCCATTAACTTGATGCGCGTTATTTGGTGCATTCCCTTCCTGTTGCGCCAAATCAATGATAAGGTTCCCCATTACTTCAATTAATCCACAACGCATAGTATAAGACTAAAAAGATATAGTAGAAAAAAAGGTAAATTTTCATAAATATGGATTTTAAAATAAAAATTCGTGACAATTTTATTTTTGATTACTTACTTCACTTGTTAGATGTTTACTCAGAAGTACAATTTGCTTGACCACTACTTTGGGAGCTAATACAGATAGTTTAATAAGAAATTTCGAAAATGATTTTGGACCAGTAGTATCTTGACTATTAAATTCCTTATCGCTTATTTCTCTAAAAATTTTGACAAGTTAGCACGAATTAGATTTATTAAAATACGTATATAATTTACCTACATTAATGTATTTTCCGCTAACTGTGTATGATCATGTTGCTGAACAAGGACTTGAAGAAATTCTGCCATAGGTTCGGATAGATGCTCATAATATTGTAAATTCTGAATTATAGTAGTTTGTGCACCTATTAAATTTTAAAAACGAAAATTTATAAAATAAAAAATGAATCAAAATCAATTACACCATTTTCTCATTTTGGTTGAAATTTATTTATACCAAATGCGTGATTATATTCTTTGACACATATTGAAAGGATAGTATAGACGCGTGATTTTATGGAAGAAGTTTTAATCGTCGTAATATTTTCCAACATTCGATATGCAGATTTTGTAAATAAACTGCAAAAAAAAAAGTTATCTAAAATGATCAGACATTCATCCAAATAAAGTTTTGAGTAAAAATAATATGTACCTAACAAAGATTTCTATTTCATGAGTTGAAGTCCAAATTTTTTTAATTCTAGGTTCCAAAACTTTTATCATTAAATCTAAGGCTTCTTGCTTTTGTTTAGACCAATCCCAATCTTCATTATTATTTGAAGAAACTTTAGATCTAGTCTGTCTTGTTCTCTTATAAATTATTTAATAAGAGTAAATAAGAATCAATTTACGTAATAGCAGATAAAAACTATTATTATACCTTTGTCTTTGCTTTTCCACCTGATGTAATTGTTTCTCCATTTACACTACTTTTAGATGTTGCTTTACGCTCTGCATTAGTAATAAACCAGAACAACAAAAATCCATACATTTCCAAGGCAATTCGATGATCACTATAAGTTTCTTCTTCATCGTCATCTAAATCATTTGACGTGTTTGTATATTCGCTTTGTAAACCTACAATACATAATAAACAACGTTCTTAAGTAAAGTTTGATAAAATGCGTCAGAAAAA